CACGTGCCGATCGGCTGATTGAAAGCTTTCGCATTCAAGAACATGTAAGCCATGTCTGTCACTGCAGAAGTGTTCCATGTGCCGATCGTCTGATTGAAGGCCTCTGTGTTGGAGAACATGTAAGCCATGTTTGCAAATGTTCCACGTGCCGATCGGCTGATTGAACGTCTCTGCATAGTAGAACATGGAACGCATGCAGAAGTATTCCATGTGCCGATCGGCTGATTGAAGGCCTTCGCCCAGGCGAACATGTATTGCATGTCTGTCACTGCAGCCGTATTCCACGTGCCGATCGGCTGATTGAAAGCCCCTGTATTGGAGAACATGGAACGCATGTCTGTCACTGCAAAAGTATCCACGTGCCGATCGTCTAATTGAAAGCCCCTGTGTTGGAGAACATGTAAGCCATGTTTGTCACTGCAGTACTCCACGTGCCGATCGGCTGATTGAAGGTCTCAGATAAGCCATGTCTGTCACTGCAGAAGTATTCCACGTGGCAATCGGCTGATTGAACGCCCCTGTGTTGGAGCATGGAACGCATGTTTGTCACTGCAGAAGAATTCTACGTGCCGATCGGCTGATTGAAAGCCTCCGCATACTCGAACATGTAAGCCATGTCTGTCACTGCAGTCTTCTACGTGCCGATCGGCTGATTGAAAGCCTTCGCAAACTCGAATATGTTGCTTATGTCTGTCACTGCAGAAGTATTCCACGTGCCAATCGGCTGATTAACGCCTCTGCACAGTAGAACATGGAACGCATGTCTGTCACTGCAGAAGTATTCCACGTGCCAATCGGCTGATTAACACCTCTGCACAGTAGAACATGGAACGCATGTCCGTCACTGCAGAAGTATTCCACGTGCCGATGATAAAAGCCTCCGCATACTCTAACATGTCAGCCATGTTTGTCACTGCAGAAGTGTTCCACGTGCCTGAAAGTCTTTGCATACTCGAACATGTTGCTCGTCTGTCACTGCAGAAGTATTCCACGTGCTGATCGGCTGATTGAAGGCCTTCGCACCCCATACAGCGGAAGTATCTCTCAGGAACTGATGTCTTCGTTGAAGTCAACGTAGAATGTGAACAGTAGGCGCATGCTCGTTGCCGCTGAGACGTTCCACTGTGCTATGCCACCATAGGTTGACGCAACATCGATTCTGTTCTTACAGTAGCAGGTGTGGACTGCGCGAGACAGCTCCGCACTGCTTTTAAAAGGTTGGAAGGAGGTGTAGAAACCACAAGAAGCACAAGCAACATGGCCATGAGCTGCGATGCAATTCCAAACACCGGTAAGCTAAACCTCCAAGAGTCTAGATCACGCTCAAAGATCAAATATCATCAGGCAGGTCTAACCGGCTTTGGCAATCAAGCTAAAACCCGCAAACAAGCTCGATGGCAAGATTCGCCGCGTGTACCCGTCTTTAAACACGCACGCGGCACGACGCGCTTGCGACGCTTTGCGGTGCGGTTGCGACGGCACGGTCACGAGCGGTGGCAACGCAGTCACGCGCTTTGCGGCCAACGCAACGAGACAGGCAGATGCGGTATTACGGTTGCGACGCAGTCACGACGTACATCTCAGCATTGGGGCACACTTCGAGACCAAAGCAGCGGCAACAAAGCGTAAATCTTAGCATTGGGGGCACCACTTCGAGACTAAAACAACGGTAGCAAATCGCTTTCGCTTAGCAACGAGGCTGTCGGAAAGCTGATTCCGACTGTGCTGCACTTGGCCAGTCCCGGGCAACAATCCATGCCTTCGGGCAAAGGGGGGCTTAAGCTCCCCCTTGAAGCCTCCCTCGAAGACCCTTGAAGGGATTGGGGGGGGTTTAAGGGTCTCCCCCTTAAAGGAGTCTTAAGGAAGGCTTGAAGGGGGCTTAAGTTGGTGTTGCTTGCGTTTTCTTTTCTTGCCTTCTTCTTGTCTCTTGTATTTCCTCGCAACCCCCCCCCATAAAAGCGATTTCGTGTGGCTTCTTCTTCTTTTCTTTGTAACTGCCTTTTGCTTAAGCTTGTTGTTCTTTCA